GGTATCAAATGAATACATGTTAAAATTCAAACCTGTATATGATTAAAGTGCTCAAAGAACTTTTAAAAACTTTTATTTAAATTCTCTTAAAGAACATTTAGGCTTTAATAAAGTTTCGGCTATATGTAACTTTAGAAGCCCATTGGTGTTACTTAATTACTTTTCTCGTTTCTGAGAAGAGGAAAGGTTTATTCATCTCACAGTCTGTAGAGGTTTTATTCCATAATCGACTGGCTCCAAGACAGGGTGGCACAACAGTTCACAGCAGGAAGATAGCAGAGCAAGATAGGGACAACCACAGCTCTTTGTATCCCTTATACCTTATCCAGGCTACTTAAACACAAGCCATAACAGTTACACACACACACACACACACACACACACACGCACGCACGCACGCACACACGCCTTTTTTCCCTTCAAGAGAAGGGCTCAAAACATTCTGTACATGGCAGTCACTTTCATGTGGCTGCTGCTTTCAGACACTAGGTGGCACTGTGGGACAAATTGAGAACTCCCCCCCCCCCCGTACTGGAGTTCGAACTCAGGACCTCAGGACCATGCACTTGTGAAGCAGGCATGGTGCCACTGAGATAAATCCCCGGCCCAAAAGATCTTTTTAGTGCATCTTGGAGGAAGACAGGGAAACAAACACAATCTTTGCCTTGATCTGGTTCAACTTGCAATTTTGTGAGACTGTCTCAAAATAAAAAAATTGGGAATGTGTAGCTCAGTGAAAAGGGCGTGGCTTCAACTGCAGTACTGCAAAAACAAAACAAAACAACAACCTAGGCAAACCCCATATCTCCAAGGGCAGAAGATTTATCGTCTGGATGAGAAAAGATAAAATTATCCTGTGGAGGATGAGAAAGAAGTTGTTTTTATACATGTTCATTTTGTGGAAGGCCTGGTAGACCAGAAGGGCAGGGAAGAACCTGAAACCAGGGACTGTGAACCCACCCCTCAGCCTCGTCCAGGAAGATGCCCTGTGTGCTGCTCTTGCTTCCTCAGCCTCTAAGAGCATGCGGAATGTCACCACCACTAAGCTGGGCATTGTGGCTCATGCCTGTAATCCTAGCACTTGGGAGGCTGAGGCAGGAGTATTGCTGTGAGTTCAAGGCCACCCTGGGCTGCATAGTGAGTTCAAGGCCATGCTGAACTACATAGGGAGACCTTCTCTCTCTCTCTCTCTCTCTCTCTCTCTCTCTCTCTCTCTCTCTCTCAAAAAAACACACACACACACACACACACACACACACACGCACGCACCACCAGGTTGTGCTGTAAGCATCCCTGCCTAGACTTGTGTACGCCTAGGATCTATCCCTTCACTCTCTACTGAAATGTGGCCCCTGGATCCACCAAAAGACAGAAAATGGAAACAAAGCTTTTGTAAATGGAAAGGAGAGGAAGGGGAAGGGAATGGCGTAAAAAAGAATTAACATATTATGTACAGGTACAAATTCCCTATAATGAATGTCATCAATATGTACGGCAGGGCCGGGGATTTAGCTCAGTGGTTCTTCGACCTGCCTCGCAAGAGCAAGGTCCTGAGTTCGATCCCTGGTATCAAAAAAAAAAA